ATAGCTAAAATTACAGGCTTGAGCAACTGGCACCCAGCTCAATAAGGATTTTTTTGAGTATTCAAATAAGTCTAGATAAGGTCATAAGTAAATAATATGTAGATGCTATTAAATAAAATCTACATTTGGTTTATTTGGTGGTACAGGGATTTGAACTCGGCCTCATGCTGACAGGTGCCCTATACATTTTTTTTAAGGTCTAAACTTAAATGATACTTTTGGTATAAATGTCTCTCAATGAATGATACTTAGACTGTTAGTTTTTCTTCTTTCTTTTTTTATTTTCCTTTTTTTTGAGACAAGGTCTTGTTATTTAGCCCAGGCTTACCTCAAACTTGAGATCCTCCGCCTCAGCCTCCCAAGTACTGAGACTACAAGCATATACCAAACACCCAGCCTAGTTTTTCTTTATAACTTTTTTTTAAAGGCCAGCAGGATTTCTATTTCTGGCATTAATATGGATTAGAATTATGATCAACCTTCCTAACTAAAAAAACTAAAATGCTATAGTAAATATAATTTTAACCCTAAAATTCATAACGAGAGAACCCAAAAGTAAGGAGTAGAAACACTCTTGAAATATTTTATCACAGGTGTGGTGGCACATGTGGCTCACATGGTAAAGTGCCTGCCTAGCATGCACAAGGCCCTGAGTTCAAACTCTAGTACCACAAAAAAAAAAAAGGATTACTAGAAGCAGTGTTCAAGTCAAACTAAAGATTAAAAATTGGCCCAGGCACTGATGGCTCATGCCTATAATCCTAGCTTCTTGGGAGGCTGAAATTGGGAAGATCTGATTTCGAAGCCAGCCTGGGCAAATAGTTTAAGAGACTCCATCTCCAAAATAACCAGAACAAAATGGACTGGAGTTGTAGCTCAAGCAGTAGAGTGCCTGGTTTGCAAATGCAAAGCCCTGAATTCAAGCCTGGGTCCACTACAAAAAAATTAAACATGTTCCTCCAATAATAACAAATGCCCTATACCTACCCACATGTACTCAAGTGAGACAAAGCCCATAGGTATGCCCCACTTCACCTTCCCAGTAAGTAATTAATTTTGATAATTATGTATTGTCAGAAAAGTGATTGGGGTAGGGTAATGGGTCACAACTATAGTCCCACCCACTCTGGAGGCAGAGATAGGGAGGATCAAGGTTCAAGGTCAGTCTGGGCAAAAAGTTGGGGAGATCCCATCTCAACCAATAAAACCATTGTGGTGGTACATGCCTGTCATCCAAGCTACTACACAGGAAGCCCTAGGTAGGGGGATGGAAGTCTGAGGTCACCCGGGGCAAAAATGTGAGATCCTACCTGAAAAATAGCTAAAGCATAAAAGGGCTGGGACAAGGCCCAAGTGATAGACCACCTGCCTAGCAAGCATGAGGCCTGAAGTTCAAACCTCAGTACCACCAAAAATAAAGTGGTCAGTATATTTTTGTTTAAAATACCTTTTTTTTTTTTTGCTTGCTTGTTTAAAAACAAATCATGCTTGTGATGATTCAATGACTCTAACAGACTAATTTGAATTGTTGAAGCTGCTCCATGTCTCCATTTTAGACAGTAATCTGGGACATCTTAGCACTGTGCTTTTTGCTTCTTCTTCACTTCTTTTCTTTGAGAGGGGGTGTTGTTTGTTTTTCAGTCTTGTTTTCCCTTAAGAGAGGATTTTTGTATTAATTCCACATGTTATTTCCTAGATCTTAGGAAGGAGTATAATAACTACTGCATTTAATAACATATCACTCCTAGCAATAACATATATTTTAAAAAATACATAAAAGTGCTGGATATGGTGGTATATGCCTGTAATCCCAGCATTCCAGGGGTGGAAGCAGAAAGATCATGGGCTACATAGTAAGACCCTGCCTTAAAAAAAATACATAAAAGTAAAAATTGATAAATCTTCAAGGAGACCTTGAAAAATTTATTATCATAGGTGTATCAACATATCTCCTCTGGTATTTGATACTTCAAACAGACCAAAACCAGTCATGAACTATATAAAATATTTTGAAGCACACAATAGGCTGACTTAATAAAAATATGTAGAAATCTCTATGCAGTAATGAAAATAAACTATACTACATGTACCAACATGATTGATTCTCAAAACAATGTTGAATGAAGAAAGTCACAGAAGAATTCCTACATTATACTTTCATTTATATAACATTAGAAGTAGATAAAACAATGAATATGTAAGTATACACAAAGAGGAGTTAAAGCCAGACATCATGGTACATGCCTGTACTGCTAGCACTAGGAAGGCAGAGACAGGAGAACCATTGATTTGCAGGCCAGCCTAGACTACATAGCAAGATCCTATCCCAAAAGACCAAAAAGGAAGTGTTGGGGAGGTTACAAATCACTGGGTTTGATCCCCAGGCACTGGAAAAAAAAAAGTCAAGAGGAAAAACTAACATAAAATTTAGGATAGTGTTTACCTGGAAGGGGGATTCATGCAATCTGGGAAGGACATGTACAGAAGCTTCTAAGGTATTAGGAATATCCTATTTCTTTCTCTGGATTAGATTATTGTTTTTGTTTGTTTGAGACAGGCTGGCCTTGAACTCAAGATTTTTCTGTTTCAGTTTCCAGAGTCTGAGGTTTTTTGGTTTTGGTTTTGGTTTTGGTTTTTTTTCAGTCCTGGGATGGGCCCAAAGCTTTGAGCATGCTAGGCAAGTGCTCTACCACTTAGCTATATTGCCAATCCTTTTATGTTATCTTTAAATGCACTCCTAGCTATATACTCTGTAGAAATTCTTGTACTTGCAGAAGACATTCTAATTCTTTTGTATATGTGATATTTTTTCAATTTATAAGATTATTTATTCTATGCAGAGGATAAAAAGAATGAAATAGATACATGTGTACTGATGGAAAGTATCCAATGAACACTGAGTGACAATTATGTTGCAAACCTACATGCATAATTTCCATTTTAATAAAAATATTAATGTATCCATTGAAATAAATCTGAAAAACATACACTAAAATGTGAACAGTGGTTATTTCTAATATGATTCCATTTAAAATTATACATTTCTGTAACATTTCAGTATTTTCCAGTAACTTCATTTACTTTTATGATCAATAAAGCAGTAATAGAGATTATTTTTATATATGTAAAAAACTGTTTCAAATAAAGAAACACTTATTCTGAGAGGGACTTTTTCTCCCTTTTGCAAGTAGAAAAGATGATTCTATAAAAGGGAATTTGTGAAGACAGACAGTTAAAAATGGGATGGGCTCCTTGCCTCAGGTCCCTTTAATGTATAGAGAATAAGTGAATGGAGCCTGGTCAATCCCTTTGGCTCACTTGCCTTTCCTAAACACCTGCTTGCTCCCTGCCACTTTCCACCCCTAGCTCAGGAGGTGACTAAGGTCTTGACCAGCCTTCAGACATGTTCCATTTTTCCAGGTCCCCAGCCGACAGCATCAGGCAGTTAAGAGCCTACGATGTCCTGACTTCCTGAGTAGAAAACCTGTGAATAAGAGAAGACACGGTGAGGCCAGAGCAAGTGCTCAGGGACACAATAGGCAAAGAACAGGATAAAAGAAGTGCTAGAGAGTATGGAAAGTCCAGATCTTCTTCTTGCCCTTTCTCTCTTACACCCCCCCCCCCAGTTTTTCATTGCAGAGCCAAGTGTAATGGTACATGCCTAAAATCCTAGTGTTCAGAAGGCTGAAGCAGGAGGATCACAATTTCAAGTCCCACCTAGGCTGCAGACTGAGACCCTGTCTCAAATTTTAAAATTCCATTGCTAGTGGTGGGTGCTCTTGGGTTTGTGGAGGTATGGAAAGAAAGGTGTTCTGTGTTACAAACAAGAGGTCATAATCAAGGGCACATGGTTCCAGGTTCTTGCACATGCTGTGGCTTCTCCATAGAACATCTCCCATCCATCTTGTCCTGGCCAGCTTGTATTCATTCTTCAGATTTTTGTTAGAAGCCTTCCCTACTCCCACCACCCACCTTTACCACCCTCCAAGGAGTTAGAGGTTTTTTAGTTTCCTCAACCTGGGCTTCCCTTATCAAGCACTGGCCCACTAACAGCTGCCTATTCTCCCACTGGAATTTAAGCTGCTTCTTTTTTTTTTTTTTTTTTTTTTTTTGTGGCACTGGGGTTTGAACTCAGGGCCTCATGCTTGCTCGGCAGGTGTTCTTACCACTTGATCACTCCACCAGCCCAAGTTTAAGCTTCTTGAGGTAAGGGACAATGGCTGCCTTACTCAGCACTCTATCTCTAGCACCTAGATCCTCTGATAGAGATGTTTGATATGCCTCAGAAAATATAGATGGATGAATAAAATGAAAGGAGGAGAGGGCAAGGGATAAGAGAATTCCGCCACTTGTCTGAAGTGTGGTTCGTACCAGCCTAAGGGAGAAGCCACCTGGGCAAGGAAAAGGAGCATGGGCTTTATCCTCCCTTTTGTCCTTCTTTTGTCATCATCTCACCCCTTCCTCCCATTCTCTGCCTCTCCCATCTTTTTTGGTGTGAACTTGAGCTCCCTCCACTGCCAGACTTCAGAATTGCAGAGAGTCAAGCAGGGTACCCTGTTCTGTTTCAAAACCCCTCGGGATTTTTTTTGGTTTTTTGGTTTTTGTTTTTTGTTTTTTTGGTGTGACTGGGGATTGAACTGAGGACTTGGTGCTTGCAAAAGCAGGTGCACTACTGCTTGAGTTATACTTCCAGTCCATTTTGCTCTGGTTATTCTAGAGATGGGGGTCTCACAAATCATTTGCCTGGAGTGGCTTCAAACTGAGATCCTTCCGATCTCAGCCTCCCAAAGTAGCTAATATTATAGGTGTAAGCCTTGGGGGAGGGAGGGAATCTTTTTGCTTCTCCAACTCTAGGGTTGATGAGGGACTGGTCAGTAAATGGGAGGTTTCCAAAGTCTGATCCACATCTCACCATCCTCAACACCAGGAACATTTAATTTGTCTCACATCCTCACCTCATGCTGTTTTCTGGGGTCTCCACTCATACACTGCTACTCCAGCTAATTCACAGAGATGTTGATTTCTGGAGCCTTTGGCTGATACATCAGCTCAGACTATAGAAAAGAGATCACAAGATGGGTTGGGAATAGGCACACAGAGATTTGAGAAGTCTAAAGGAAGAGACCCAGAAACAGGATATAAACCCACAGCAAAACAAAACAAAGATCAGGGTTGAGAAGAACATCTGACAGAGCTGTGTCCCTAGTCTTCTCTACCACCATAGGCTCATAAAGCAGGACCCTTGCCTATGAACAAACATCTCCCTTACCCCTCCATTCTGCCTATGTCAATGTAGAGCTAAGGGAAGTGATCAGATCTTCAGGTTTAGTGGAGACATTAGACTTTAGGGACAGATCCTGGACAAAGGCACTCTCCCAACTCCTGCCCCACTCCCCTGGGAGGACCCAGCCTGGAGCTCACATCTTCACTGTCACTTCCACTGAACGAGTGTTCTGGCTCCTGCCCCTTTTCAGTGATATTCCTTTCCTCCTCTGGCATGAGCTCATCCAACCAGAGGAGTTCCTGTGGTGAAAAGACCCATTCCAGTGCCTTTCGGACCCCCACCAGGCCCAGCAACTGCAGAAATAGAAACAAGTCCAGAACTGTCAGCCACAGCAGCTGAACATTGTAATTTTTATCTAGTACTTCCTTTGTGGCAGGCATTGAGAATCATTACTGAATGCTAACACATTCCTACAAAATGGATACAATAATTATTCCTATTGTACATGGAAGAATATGGAGGCCCCAAAAGATTACTAACTTCCCAAAGGTCACACCTGGGATGTGGTAACCAGATTGGTCCTACTGCAAAGCCAATGGCTCTTAACTTTCTCCTCTCTGTTATCCCTCACTGAGTAACAGAAGTGTCAGCACTGCCCTACCGAGAACCTCAGTTTTCTTTCTGGGTTTATAGATAAGCCCAAGGAGGTAAATCAAGTATCACAGGACTAGCCCATCAGTAAGTATTCCTCAGCCATCTTTCTGTGTGTTAGAATTTTTAACCAGGAAGAGCCAGGGCAAGTGAGAGGAAAGAGTTACTCTTGAGGAGGCTGTGTCCACCTTCCCAGGAGAGAGGGCTCAGAGTCTCCCAGAACCTCCCAGGACCACCCAACCTTGCCCCCAAGTCACCATGAGAGGAAAGATGATGGCTGCAGGGGTAGACTTGATTATCCAAAGCAGACCTAGGCAGGCAAGCTGGATGGCTGTGAAGATGTGGACTCTGTTCAGGGACACATGCCGCAAGAGCAGCAAGTCTGGCTGGTGTTTTGCTGGCATCAATAATAGCTGCACTCTCTTCATGAACTTGGAGGATGAGAGGAAATGGAAAACAGGGCAGGGCATTTAGGTAGTCTAGAGGGTGTCACTGTAGTTATGCCTGCCTAGCATGGGAAGGGGGAAGAGAAGGCTCCCTTGGCCTCCCCGTCCAGAGTGTGGCAGCAGGGTCTCTGTACTCAGGAAAGGCAAGAAGATGGGATAGGAGGGGATTTGGCAAATGGGCAGGAAGAAAGAGGTGGCTAGGTGATTTTAATGGGCTCACCTGGATGCTGCTAAGTGCTGCCACCCCCATGTACAGGAAGATGCCATAGAGCACAGGCATTGGGATGAACTGGTAGAAGTGGAGAGGAGCAAAGAGCTTATCTTTAGCTGCCCAGATACACCACCTTAGGCTCCAACCCCAGCCTCTAGTGTCCGAGCCTGCCCTGGCCTTTCCTTTCCCATTTTGCATGCCTGATCACATTGAATTCTCCCATCAATCACATGAAATGAAATAAAAGCTATTATTGTCTACATTTTACAGATGGAAAATTGAGAGACTAAGTTGCTTGGTATACCTCTCTAATTTTTTTTTTTTTTTAGACAGTCTCACTATGTAGCCCAGGCTGACCTCAAACTCAAGATCCTCCTCCCTTAGCCTCTCAAGTGCTGGGATTACAAGCATGATCCACCATGCCCAATGTTGCCTATCACATTCCCCTTGGTTCTGTATGTTTCTAGTTTACTGTCCCCCTTTCCTTCATTAATATGCCCAAGTTTGTTTCTACCCTTTGCAGAGCCTTTTATTTTTCTATTCTCCCCACCTAAAATGCCCTTTCCCAAATTTCCACATGGTTAGTTTGTTCTAATCACTCATGCTACATGACACCCTTTCTAGAAGGGCCTTTAGTGGCCACCTAATCTAATGTATCCTCTGGCACTCTTAATCACCTTATCCTCTTTTATTTTTCATAGAAGTTATCACTATCTGAAGTTACCTTGTTGCTTTTTTAAAAAATCTGTCACCAGACTCAAGGATAGAGACATGATCTCTTTTGATCACTATTATATTCCCAGTACCTGGAACAGTGCTCGTTATATGGTTTATGAGAGTCACCTAATTAGTAAGTAGCTGATCCAGTCCATCTGGTTCTCTATGGCATCACTCTTACCCAGACTCCATGACCTTTCCCTTGCCTAACCTCATGTCTCTTGTCCTCCTGCCAGTGACTCTTGTCTGACATTCTCCACACCCTCCTTGACTTCTTTGCTGTCTTGGCTTGTTGACTCTGCTATCATTTGTTACTAAAGTTTTGCTTGTGTGTGTGTTGCTGGTAGGATCTTGGTCTCATGTTCCTTTTCAGTATTCCACTGTGCCCACTTCTCCCTGGTACCTCACAGAGTGTGATACACAAGAGATGGTCTATAAAGCTCTAGTGAAAGAGAAGTAAAGGGTTTTCACCTCAATGTTTTTCTGTGGTATGTTTATCATACTCTCAATCTCAGGCTTGTTGGGAGGCTGGAGCAAGGGTAGCACTTGGAGCCTAAGGAATTGGTGGTACACCCACACCCTACTCCACTGAACAGAAAGCCTACTGGATAAAAGTTTGGGTCTTTAGATCTGAGAAACTAGCTTCCTTGGTGGGTTCTTGCAGTTACTTTACCTCTTTAGACTTAAGATTTCTCATTTGCAAAGTATGTATGCCTCTCAGGGTTAATATGAGGATTAAAGAAGACCATGTATAAAGAAAATACAGAGTCTGGCACACAGTAAGGGTTAAACTGGTGCCAGTTTTTGCTGTATGTATTATTATTATTACTGCACTGATCCTGATCCCAGCCTGTCTAACAGAGGTACCTTGAGTACAGGTGCCAAGAATATAGAGATGCCTGTAAGGATGAACACCATCAGGCCCGTCACCCTCTGTTCCCTGTGGGGAAAAGGAGGAATTAGCTGGGATCTGGGATAGCTCCTGGGGCACTCAGGCACCAGTACAGAAATACAGACACTGGCAGTCAGAGAAAATCAGAAAGCCAGATGGATCCCCCCAATAGGTTACAAGATAGGAAGGAGGCCTCAGCTTGGTGTGAAAAACTAATGGAAAGGTAAGGGCAGAACCCTTGGACATGAGGGCCCCAGGCCTCTCCATTGGTTTAAGTTCATATTTGTTCTTTGATGTTTTTTGATGGAAAATTAGTGTTTTTTATGCTGCCATAAGCATTTACATTTCACAATTTATCATTTTAATTCCTTATATTTTAGATTATGTTTCTAACCATTACAGAATTGTTTTTGCAATGGGGACTTTTGTGTGTATATGTGTAGTACTGGGGTTTGAACTCATGACCTGCACCTTGAGCTACTCCACCAGCCCTTCTTTTTGTAGTGGGTTTTTTCAAGATAGGTTTTCACGAGCTATTTGTCCTGGCTGGCTTTGAACTGCAATCCTCCTCATCTCTTGCCTTCTGAGTAGCTAGGATTACAGGCATGAGCCACCAGTGCCCAGCCTGAGTGGGAACTATTAGGTGGCATCTCACTCTCAGCTCCAGCCCTAACTGCCTCCACCTTGAATCAATGATACTCCTCTTGAGGCCCCGCCCTGCCCCCATGGCTGAAGGAGGAGAGGAGATCTGACTTGCCCACCTCAGAGCTCAGAACCCACCCACGTATCCCACTGCAATGCTTATGAGGCACAAGCTTTGAATTCAAGGTGCCCAAACAACTCTGTCATATATCCCATAACCACCTTGCTGCCCACTTTTCACTCCAGCCTTACCTAATGCCGAGGAAACTGGGGGCTTCCCCAGGGACACAGGCTCTGCTCTCTCTCCGAAGACTGTCCATGTGGGCCAGGGAAATGACAGTGGCTGAGACATACCAGGGCAGCCCAAGTACTGATGTGAGCAGCATCAACACAGCCACACAGAACAGGTCCAGGTGGAAGCCACCTCCTTTCTGCAGGGAACGGGTGAAGGCTGAAGATGCAGCTATCCCAGGCCTGGGCCCTCTCTCCTCTTCTCCTCTTGGATGGACAAGGGACAGCCTAGACCCCACCCTAGAGTTTCCATCCCTTGGTCTAAGACCTTACCTGCAGTCTATATTCTGCACGGTTGAGGATGACTGCTGTTATCTGCTGGTCCATGAAGATGAGAATAGATAGCAGCAGGGCAGGCAGGGCAGCTGCCACACTTAACCACCAGGGGTTAGCTCCAAAAGGTGACACCAACCAGTCACGCCCAGGCAGTGTAGGCTGGGGAGGCATTCCATGGGCAGGTTGGAGAGGGTCTCGCAAGAGCACCTCATCTGCACGCCCCATCCTTGGCACTCTTCCACAACCCACCTCCCTCCCCAAGGCCCTGAATGCTTGGTGGAAGCGCTCTCTCTCTCTCTCTCTCTCTCTCTCTCTCTCTCTCTCTCTCTCTCTCTCTCTCTCTCTCTCTCTCTCTTTCTCTGTGTGTGTGTGTGTGTGTGTTGTACTGCTACAAAGCATCCCAGTGCCTTAAAAGAGAGCAGAAGGAGGTGTCCCAGCCTGGCTGGAGCCAAAGGTTCTGGACAGTGGTTCTCAGGGTCCCTACCTCCCTAGAAGAAGAGCTGGCAGATGTGGCCTGCCCACACTTCTTGGTAGCTTATAAAGTCTTCCTACTTCGGCATACCCCCCATCCAGGGTGGGGCAGCTCAGGTTCAGGCCTGCCTTGATCTGGGGCAGGGGTGGGGCAGGGCTAGGTGTGTCTGCGTCTGCTTTGATTATAAGCGTCTGTTGGAGGGAGGGGAGCCCCTGGGTTGCTGCATAGGATTTTGAGCACCTGAGGCCACTCCAGATGGAGACCCCTCCTCTTCTGTCCTGAGGGAAGCTAGCAGATAAACCTAGTAATCAGTGCAAAGCCTTGTCACACCCTTGGGAGGGAGCTCCAGCTTTACTGGAGCAGAGCAGGTAATAAGGAGTGGGAAAAAGAGAGTGGAGAATAATGAAGTGGGCAGAGCTGTGGCACGAGTAGGGAAAACCCATAACAACAGTGACTAACGTTTACTGAGGATTTGGTTTGTGCCAGGCACTGTGATAAGTGTTATACACTATGATATCCTGTAAACCTCAAAACAACCTATATGGTAGGAACTATTGCTATTTACTATAGATTAAGAAATTGAGGCTCAGAAATATTCGATAAGTTGCCTAATGCACAGGTAGGAAGTGGCAGGACTGGAATTCAACCCAAGGCTGACTATCCAGAACACATTCTCCTAACCCTTACCCTATAATAATAGTCACTGTGTACAGTATTCTGTATTCACTTCTGTGTCTGTTGCAATACCTCATTTAATCTCAGTAACTCCGTGAGGCCATTATTATTATTATTTCTATTTTATGAGTGAGGAAAGAAACTCAGAGAAAGGTAAGTATAGGATTTATGCACCTTCTCCCCCTGTCCCCCATCTCCCAACCCCCAGCTCTCACCTTGAACTCTCTGGGCACCAGGAGCTTCGGTGTAGCTAGACCCAGGAAGGCATCAAGGCCACAGCCCAGCAGAATAGCCAGGACTGAGGAAAAGTCGCTGAACACCTTTCGCACCTGGCCACACAGTGGACACTTAGTCGGGTCTAGACCTGCCATCCCCCTCCTTCCACATCCTTTCCAATTCACAGACAGGACTCAAGGCCAAGAGCAGATCTCTCCCACAGAAAGGCCACACTCACCATGGAGGGGAAGAGGCGGCTATTCTTTACATGCTTGAGGGCGGTGGCAAAGAGGAAGGAAGTAAGGAAGAGGAGAAGGGAGAAGAAGGCGATGTCTGGTACTGTATGACAGCCAGGACCACGAGGGCGACCTCCCTGTCGGGTGCACTCAGATGGTGGCAGCAAGGATGCATTGACCAGACCTAGGTCCTATATGGAGGAGTGGTCAAGCTACTGGGGCTATGGATAGCAAAGTAAGTGTCCTTCTTCTCTTGAACCCACCTCAAGGGAAAGGAGACCCTCAGAGGTCCCAAGGACCCAGGATGAGAGATCTTTGACCATAGGAAATAGCTGAGCCTCAGTGACCTATGAAGGTTTCCCTAGCAGTGGGTAGGAAGAGCTGAGAACCACCGACTGTTTGGGTTGCCACCCTTCTTTCCCAAGCCTTCCCAGGAGCAGGTTCTCACCATGATTAAGATGTCATCTCTGTTTTTTGGGTTTGTCCTTGTCCATTGAGATTCATTTTCTGGGAAGCAAAGAAGAATTCAGGTGCATGCCCCCTCCCTGAGAGCTGTCTGCAGCTTCACAAGATTGTAATCTGATGGGTCCATCTGAAGCAGAGAGTTCTTAGTGCTGACTTCTCTGTCTGCTAACTCCATTACAACCAAGTGTGCACTCCTCAGGACACTGCCCACACCTTCACCTCTCAAATCCTCTACCCGTCTGTGACCCTGGTGCTGAGCACAGGACGGGCCACAGCAGTTGCTCAGCAAACATTAGCTGAATGCCTAGGCTCACAGATCTGTTTCTACCAGAGCAAGAAGAGGCCTAGCACAGAGTCTGGCATGGGTTATAAACTGGTGCTGCCTTCCGCATGGAGAGATATGTGCAAGTGGAACACCCCAAGCCTCTCCCCACCTGGAGAGTTGCTCTCACCCAGGGGAAGATCTGTGATTTATCTGATTGGTAAGTTTAGGAGATGAAGCTAGGCATACCTGGCCCTGCCCTTTCCTCTTAAGGAACAAGCTACCTACTTGGTGCATGCATTTAGCTCTGCTCCTCTGGGATAAGTAAAATAGTACCTGGCCAGTGTGGCCATGACTGGGTGGGTAAGTCTACATTTGGCTTCATCATTAGGAAGCCCATTCATCCATATGTATAACTGTGTTCTTCTATCAGGGTTGTCAGAAATAAAGACAATAGTTGACTTTCTGTTGTTTTATTTCTCAACTAAGTCAGAACCAGAGAAGAAAAAGATTCTGCTGTTTATTGGATAAGCATTTTCCTGAAAACGAGGGGTCCTTTCGTCCTCCCACAGCCTTCCTCACTTGGCCAAGGTCCTTGTTTCCCTCACCTACCTCCTGGGCCTGGGTATTGGCAGAAGCAGCCATAGGCAGGGGCCCCTGGCCTTTGGATGGGATAGGCACGGGTTAAGTTCAGCATTTTGCACAGAGCATCATAGATGAAGATGAGGCTGATGAGGGCACAGAACCCTTCCTCTGTGAAGCGGGTGAAGTAGCGCACCAGCACGCTGGCCTCTGTGGCCACCAGCACCAGGCAAAATGTGGCCACCCAGATGCCTATCCACAGACGGAAGGGCAGGTAGTCCATGTTGTGATCTCTGTGGGGGTGAAAGACATACAGAGCTGTCTCCTCCCCCTCTAAGCCACACCAGGTACCCCTCAAGCCAAAGAGATAGCTCCCACCCTCTCATCTTCACCCAGCCAGGACCAGGCTGAGGATGAGACTAGTCAGGGGCTAGGTAGATGGGGGATGTCTCCTACCTGCTGAAAGAGAAAAGCAGGCGCTCAAAGACTAGCACTGGCCCTGTGCTGCTGAGGATGGTGAGGGGCTGGCCTGCCATCAGGCAGAAAATGGCTCCAGCCACAGCTGTGCCCAGGAAACTTTCCAGCACTCCCTATAAGTAGAAGGGCTCATCACAGGACTCTGGCTTCCTCATCACAGGAGCCCAAGCTTCCCCTAAGCCTCCTCAGTCCACCCATACTCCCAGGAGAAGGAGACAGCTGGCAGGATAACAAACTTGTAATGGCTCACCTCCCTCAACCCTACCTCCCCCGGCCCCACCCACCTGGGCCCCATCAGTGGCATCTCCCAGCAGACCCCCAAAGGTGATGGCATTCGTGACGGTGGCCAGGTAAATGTAGAGCACAGCTGAGAGACACTGGGGGTGCAGGGCGTCCAAGAAATCGCTGGGGTACCACGTGGCCTTCCGGCGTACGTCCTGGACAAGGCCTCCAAACAGCCTCCCACCCGTGGGTCGTCAGTGATCTCGATTCCCATACCTCAAGCCGCACCCCAGCTACCTTCCTGTGGCTGGGCCAGCCTCTCCCGCAGTGAGCGCCCACTTCGGAACCCCTATGACTCCTACGCTTCACAGGACCCCAACCTTTGTTCCCACTAGCTCGCCTCACCTGCCTGTCCGCTGCAACTCCGGGCAGGTCGCGTGTGGCCCATGGTCGTGCCTATCCTCTGCAGGGGCCCCACGCGGGCGAGAGAGGCCCTTGATCTCCCGCATTTGTGAGGGGAGCCTGAGGAGAAGAGGAATCCCAGGTTGGCTGAGGATCTCAACAAGTCTAAGTGATCCTAGAGCTCGTAGCGCCCTGCCCCCTAGCGGCTGCAAGAAGGCCAGGGTCACATTCGCTCTTTGTGAATGCCAGACTCTGCCAGAGAAGGTACTTATTGAGGTCTCAGAGTGAGAGCAGTAGAGTAGAACTCCAAATCCGGCTGATGATAGAACCAAGTTCCTCCTCAATAGTGGCTCCAGACCCACTGCCGGTGGGGAAAGATCTGTATGGGATGATGGCCCCCAGGTACCTTTTGTGCTGAGAGGGCAGGCATTTGGGCGGGGGAATCCGGACTGTCGGGTCCCACCGACCTGGAGGGAGCACCGTCACCTCCTCTAGGAAGGTATCCAGAGCTGCCAGAAGGTCATGAAGGTTGCTGGCCCGTCGAACTGACCACTGGAATTGCTGGGTTTAGGGGCACAAAGTGGACAGTAAATGCAAATTTAGACTCTAACATTCATTGTCATTTGTATGTTTATCAAAACTGGACACACACAGGTCACAGGCAGACAAGTCGATGCATTCTTTTTTTTTTTTTTTTTTGCGGTACTGGGGCTTAAACTCAGGGCTTCACTTTGATCTACTCCACCAGCCCTATTATTGTGAAGGGTTTTTCGAGATAGGGTCTTGCAGAACATTTTGCCCGGGCTTGGCTTCGAATCAAGATCCTCCTGATCTCTGCCTCCTGAGTAGCTAGGATTACAGGCGTGAGCCACCGGCGCCTGGCTTTAATGCATTCTTTCATGCATACCTGTATTCATTCATCCCATGAATATTAAGTGCCTACAGTGTGCCTGCACTAGGCCACTAATGGGGTTACATTGGTAGCCATGGAAATTTCAGTCCCCATGTTATGAACACAAAACTATTCTCTGTCTTGTTGTACTTGGTCACACAGAGTCCATACACACATTCACATGAGCCTTTGTGCACATGTCCACAAACACCTGCCAAACTCACCGGGTCACTGAGGAGGACAGCTACTGCTCGACCCATCTCATGGTAGCCCCTTCCCCTAGTGGGGGGGCCCAGGAGGAGGCAGAAAAACCTGAAGAGGGAACCAGGCCTCAGAGAAGATCAGAAGCTGCCTCCCTATAATGTAGCCCTGCCCACTGATGGGCAGCCTCTGACCTGCGGACACTCAGCTCTGACCTCTCTACCTGCCCTGTACATACACTCAGGTGCACACTTTCTCTGCAAACCTGACCCCTCCCACCTCAAAGGCCCCTGGGCACCATCCCCCACACCTGCTCAGGGAACTGGGCCTTCCCCCCTCCCCAGATCCCTCCTCAGCCAGGGCCCTCACTCCCACTCAGTAGCTTCACCTGCTGGGGAGGGGCACCTCAGTAAGGGGTCCCAACACCACCGGATTCCGAAGTCTCACAAAAGCCCCCAGAGGCTGTGCCAGGAAGCCCAGCTCTCCTGCCAGCACGGCTGCTGCCTCTACCCCAGGAGGCAACTTCAGTCTCAGGGCGTTCTGATGCTGGGTGACCAGAGTGTGAGAGATTATTTGGGGAAGGTGACGTTGGCAAGATCTCAACTGATTAGCCCAGTGTAAGGTAGGCCTTTATAAGTTCCTAACCCCTCTCCCAGCTGTCCCCAAGGAAGGGCCACAAACCTGTTCCTTCAGGGGAGTGTCCTCATCATGAGATGCCTTTCTTAAATCGGTGAATCCTGCAAAACAGAAGTGTGCAGTGGTTAAAAGCACAAGGTTTTGAAGGCCAGGCTCTGTGGCTCACATCTACAATCCTAGCTATTTGGGAAGTGGGGATCAGGAGGAGCAAAGTTTGAGACCAGCCCAGGTAAAAAGTTAAGACTCCCATAAGCCAGGTGTTGGCCTACACCTGTGATTCCAGCTAGGTAGGCATAGGTAGGAGGATTCCAGTTCAAGATTGGCTCCAGGGAAAAATGGGAGACCCCTATCTGAAAAATAACTTAAAAAGGGCTGGGGCATGACTCAGTGGCAGAGCATCTGCTTAGCAAGCATGAGTTCAAACCCCAGTATCACCAGGGAAAAAAAAAAAAGCACAGGTTTTGGGGGAAGATCTAGCAGGGCCACCCAGACCAGCTTTGCTACTGATAAGCTATGAGAACTGAAGCACCCTTTCTCCCTCTCTGAGCCTCCATTACCTCACCAGTAAATTGGAGATAATTGTATAATCTTCCACAGTGACTATGAAGATTAAATGAGATACTGCATGTAAAGCTCCTCACACAGTGCCCACCAAATACATACCTTCACCCTTCACAAGGTTCTGTCTGTTATACTCTTAACCCTGCCATTTTTCTTCTCTCACCATTACCACCAGGTTCCTCTTGCCCATCAATCCTGGGCTGAGGTCTGAGCCAAACCTAGGCCATTCCTGGCTCAGAAAGGTACAGAGAACATCTGGGATGCTTCTGCCCCAGTGTCTTGATCCTGGGCCCTAGGAGGAAACTCTCACCCCAGCAGGGCCTGATGCCTGTAGTCCGGATGTTGTGCTGTGGTCTCTGCAGCAGCAAGGCCTGAAGTTGCCCTCTCAGCTCTGGGCTCAATGACTCCACCCTGACCACCTGCTCTGGAGAACAGATGTGGGGCTCAAATTCCATCCTGAGAGCTCCCTGCCCCACCACTCATCCCTTTTTCCGTTCTGGGAGTCTGAGGAAATGCAGGGGGCAATGAACTTTCTCCTTCACTCTGCTTTTTCCATCTCTATCCTGCAACAGAAATGGACAATCCCTAGGGTGGGATGGGATGGGGTGGGCTCTGGAAAGTTCTAAGACTTTGGGGAAAATCCAATGGGAAATGGGGAAAATCCCTGCAAAGTTTCCCAGCCTACCCACAAGTTCTAGGAAGCTCTGAGCTGGACAGTCTAGCAGTACAAGGCCCTCAGCCAGCAGACTGCGGAGCTTCTGGAGACTGGGCAGTGCCAGGGTAGGCACATGGGGGGCACTCCACCGGCCTGCACCCACTTCCAGCTTCTCCTCAAACAGCACCCACCTGTGATGATGGGATGAACATTGTTATGGGGAGAATCTCCCCCATGTCCAGGAGCAGGGATATAGGAGAGTCAGGAAAGGTAGGGCAGTGGGGGTGCTGGCTCACTGGTGCAGAGTATGCCCCCATCCCAGCAGCCACCCCTGATTGGCTCTCAGAAAACTCAAAACTAGATTGCAGAGGAGGCTGAGTATCATAGAGAGTGGAACACAGAGAGGAAAATCCTGATTTGGGGTGGGAAGGGCTGCACAGAACTAGCCAGATCCCACTCACCTGCCTGTCTCTCGCCACTCCAGTGCTTGGGGCCAGCCCAGCAGCTCATTCAGCTGAATGAAGAGCATAGGGTCCTTGAATACCCCCACTTCCGTGCTGTCTGTGTCTGAGGGGCCACCAGGGTTGGGGTCAGGGACAAGGCTGCTGTCCATCTCCCCTGTAGGAATATTTTCACAAGCACTGGAGGCTTCAAATTCCTCCTGGCCTGGCAGCTTCATCTTGGTGAGGCTTGCACAAAAATCACAGGAGCAGTGCAGTCCTAGGGCCCTCTGACTGGCTGCATTTATAATGCACTGGTCACCACAGCCCAACACAAACAGAGCAAGGCCTGCTGGCTCCAGAGTATACAGGTTCTGCCTCCCCTACTGACCCACCCCTGCTGACCTGAGAGTGTTTGTAAGACTAGACTGGCCTTTCTCAGGCTCTCCAGAAATGCCCAACCTGGGGGCCAAGTGTATGTGTGCATTGCCTATGGGATCAGGTCTGATCACACTGTTTTGTGTAAATAAACAGGAGTAGATGGTTGGTCTAGGCCTGCATGCTGACACCCCCAGATTACGCTGCCCCTAGCCTGTATCAAATTGAAACACTAAACATACAGGACTATTTGGGGTGTCAACAACATAACCTGGGATACACACATACCACACACACACACACACACACACACACACACACACACTCGGCCAAACTGGGAACTAGGCCTAACTAGGCCTATGGTAGCCAGACAAGGTAAGGGAGACAGCATGCAGAGCCCTGCCTATTAAATGGGCTAATGATGGGAAGTGGTGGTGGGTTATGAAGAAAATAATGCCAATGTGCCTAGGGTCTTCCCCTTTAATTAAGCCTCCCACTGAGACAACTACAGTGTGTGTGTGTGTGTGTGTGTGTGTGTGTGTGTGTGAGAGAGAGAGAGAGAGAGAGAGAGAGAGATAGCAAAGGAGAATGTTGTCCCTTGTCAAGTCCTATTGACTTTACCTCCCAAATATATCCAGAATCCAATACCACCTCCAGCACTACTACCCTAATCTAAGTTACCATTTCTTACCTGAATTATTTCAATAGTCTTCTATCCTTTTGCAATATTTTCCCTTCTTCTGCTCTTCCTCCCTTACCCAAAGTCCATCCTCTACACAACAGTGATAAAGATTCCTTTAAAGGGCTTTCCAGATAGATAAGGTGGCACATACCTGTAATCCCAGCACTTGGGAGTTTAAGGCAGGAAACTCCCAGTTTGGGAGTTTGGCCAGCTTGGGCTTTATAGCGAGATTTTGCCTCAAAAAACAAACAAATGAAAAACCAACCGAGCACTGGTGGTTCATGCCTATAATCCTAGCTACTTGAGAGGCTGAGATGGAGAGGATTGAGGTTCAAGGCCAGCCCAGGTAATAGCTTGTGAGACCCCCATCTCCAAAATAGCCAGAGAAGGGACTGGTGGAGTGGCTTAAGTGGTAGAGTGCCTGCCTAGCAATTGTGAGGCCCAGAGTTCAAACCCCCGTACCACAAAAAAAAAAAAGGCAAACCACTAAGAAAGTATTCCAGCCACATTCTCTCCTGCTGAAAACTACCACTGCAAGCTCACTTCTCCCAAAAGAAAGAAATGAGACTCGTTGTCTAGTAGATCCATGTCTGGCCCCAGCCCCCACATCACTGACCACATCTCCACCATCCTTCCCTTGCTCCCTTCTTTCTAGTCTTGAATGTAATGCAAAGCTTGTTTCTACCAGACAGGCTTTGCTATAGCTGTTCTTGGCAAGGAACATTTTTCCCCAGATATTTACATGCCTGGACCCTTGTCACCTAGGTCTCATGTTAAATACGACCTACTCAAGGAAGCCTTCCTTTTCCATTCTGTCCTGTTTCCCCTTGGGGAATGTCATGCTCCATGACATTTCTGTTTTATTTTCTTCCTAGCAGTTATCACTATTAGTAACTGCCTCATTTATTTATATGTTTATCTTTTATTGCCTGCCTGTCCACACACACACTGAGATGTACCGTCCATGGAGCCGGTATCTTATTTGCCTTGACCCCTACGCCTAAAGCAGCCTAGCACACGGTGACTCAATAAATATTTGTTTAATGAGCGCATAGAAAGGAAGGGGCTGGGCAAGGAGCCTCGCTTCTCCTTCAGACCACAAGAGGGCGCTGCTCCCCATGGCCCAAATCACTAGAGCCTCTCCCTTAGGTCAAGTGGCTTTGCTTTTGTTTGTCTGCCAGGGCACAGAGATGGCGAGATAACATCCTCCGCCTTGCCCTGGCCCACCACGAGTTGCCCTGAAGGGATAGGGTATGTGAGGGGTGGGGGGAGCACAACAGGATGGGGAAAGGAGAGAAAATCGAGAAAATCAGGCTCATCTAAATGTGGGTCAGACCTCTCCCCACAATACACACACACACTGCATATCAGGAACACACACACACACACACACACACACACACACACACACACACACACACACACACACACACACACACACACACACACACACACACACACACACACACACACACACACACACACACACACACACACACACACACACACACACACACACACACACGGAACCCATTCCCTGAATGGGACCCAGCTGGCCCTCTCCTCTAACTCAGGTGTAGTCCTAGAGATCCCAACTCAACAATTGAGGAGGGGTACTGAATCTGAAGGGGCAGTTGGTTTCAGTCCCAGGAGGAATAGAAACTGGCCAAGGGCCTGAAAAGGCTAGGGAACACCTGTGACTATTCCCTTTAAGAATGTGCCCCTCAGAGAGGCAGGGGATGAAAGAAGCTTGAGGGAGATGGGCTCATGTATTTGGCATGCACACACCCACCCCCACTCAAAACACACACACCCTCTCTTCTGGTCCTCATTCCTGCCACTTCAGAGGGTCTGTCCTTGCCCCTCAGGGCTGCATGCAGTAGCCTGGCCACCATGCCTCCTCTACAGACCTCCCTTTTACCTCTGAGCCTTCGTTCTCTGATCTGGGCAGCTTGGGTGGTGCCTGTGGGCAGCAGTGGCTTCCCAGACAAGGCCCAGTGAATGTGGTACCAGTTGGCGAGCAGCCCACATGTACTTTACCAGAGTTCAGAGACCAGAATCTCACTGTGGGTGGGTCACAGACCTATTGAGTGCTCCTCAGCAAGGCCTTCTCTCTGAGCCCCAGTTTCCCTGCATGTAATGGAGGCTGTTGTGTAGATGATTTCCAATTTCAAACCTTCATGCAGTGCCCTGGGCTGGACCCTGCAGAGGTAGGCACAGACTCACCAACAGGCTCCCTGTGTGAATCCTGGTGGTTTACTTTCTAACAGGTGGAGATTTATCTTTGCTGAATTTGAACTTTCTTATTATTAAATGAAAAGTAAATAGTAAAAACACTCATGGAGCCAGGTACAGTGGCTAAAGATTATAATCCTAGCTACTCAGGAGACTGAAATCAGGAGGATCAAGGTTTGAGGCAAGCCCAGGCAAAAACCAAGACCCTTTCTCAATCAATGGCTGGGTGTGGTGTCATCCCAGCTAGATAGGGAAAAACAAATAGGAAGATCATGCCCAAGGCCCTCCAAGGGCATAAAACAAGACCTTATCTCAAAAATAACTAACACTAAAAGGGCTGGTGCAGTGATTCAAGTAGTAGAGTGCAGAAGGCCCTGAGTTCAACCCCTAGTACCACAAAAAACAAACAAAAACCCTTGTGAGCTAGAGTGGTAGAGCGTTTGCCTAGTACTGAAAATAAAGTCCCCACTTTTAGGCTTTCTTAAATGCAACAGTGCATATAAAATAGGCCTAGGACTCATTAAACACAAAAGGGAGACTGTTATTATGTAACTATGAGAAAAATCACTAGAGCGTGGATTGGAAAAGAACTCCCAGGTATTAAAATGCCAAGTGTGTCCAACCCCTGTCCTAGGCACATTAACTCATGTTAATCTTTCTAATTAGTGTTTAGCATTTTTTTTTAGAAACTTTCTAAAAAACGTTTGAGCTGGTGCAGTGGCTTAAGTGGTAGAGCACCTGCTTAGCAGAAGACCCTGAGTTCAAACTTCAATATCACAAAAAAAAACTTCATGATGCATATATTTCTAGGGATCAAAACCGTGGCCTCAGATGTGTTAGCCAGGCACTTTACCACTGAGCTATACCCCCAGTCCCTAAGATTTTATTTAACTTAATTTAAAAATTATTTATGTGACTCTAACAGTAGATTGACAAATTGCAAAACCAGCCAGGTGCTGGTAGCTCACGCCTATAGTCCTAGCTACTCAAGAGGCAGAGATCAGGAGGATCACGGTTCAAAGCCAGCCTGGGCAAATAGTTCATGAGACCCTATCTCAAAAAACCCCATTACAAAGAAAAAAGAAAAAAGATCTGGTGGAGCAGCTCAAGCTGTAGGCCCTTGTGAACCTGGGCGGTGGTATGACTCAAGTGGTAGAGCGCCTGCCTAGCAAGCATGAGGCCATGAGTTCAAACCCCAAAATGGCCAAGAACAATTGCAAAACTTTACAGAGACGTCTTCATCTTGTACCTTTTATCCAGCTTCCCTCTGTGGTGACATCTTTCATAACAAAAAATACAGTATCAAAGCCAGAAAACAACATAAGATAACAGACTGTAAACTAGACCACAGGCTTTCTTCAGATTTCACCAGTTGTAATGTGTGTATTATGTATATCTAGTTTCATGAAATTTTATCACATGTAAAGATTCACTTACAATATGCTAGACAGATTGTTCCATTTCCTTAAATCTTACTTGTCATTTCATCTGTATCATGGGGATGATAATACTACCTTCCTAATAGGACTGTTGTGAGAATTAGAAAGAATGTATGTAACCTGGGTGTGGGGACCAGTAATCCCAGCAATCAGGAAGTTGAGGAAGGAGGATCTCGAGTTCAAGGCCAGCCTGAGCTACAAAGCAAAGCGCTATTTCAAAATAATAATAATAATAATAATATGTAAAATAACTGAGAGCACTGCCTGCCTGAAATGTAGTGAGCACTAAATTTTAGCTTTTATAAAAAAAAGAAAATGACATAAAATACATAAGTAATTCATATTTTTGCAGAAAAACAATCCATATGATAAAAATAATACAAAATAAAATAAATTTTTTTTCATAATGTCCTTACTAAAAAATAAGCACTGAAGCCAGACAAGGTGATACACACCAGACCCCCAGCACTCTGGAGGGCAAGAGGGTTGGGAATTTGAAACCCTG